AGAAGACAAGTAGTGATTTTACAGCATCTTACTATGTTGATGGACAGTGACTGTGAACGGGGATGTGGGGGGGACTTGGTGAAGGGGGAAGCCTAGTAAACATAATGTCCTTCATGTAATTGTAGATTAATGATACCAAAATAAAATTAAAAAAAATAAAAATAAAAAAATAAAAATTATGCATATTAATTAAAAAAATATTGTTCAATATCATGATGTCTATATTGAGCAAGGTTCAAAGAAGAAATAGTTTCTGTCACTGAAAGACATTTGTTTACCTTCGTATTTTCTAGATCACTAAATCCTTGTAACTTAAGCTTTATATCAGACTGAGAAGTGTCCAGTAATAAACAATTAGACTGCAGGTTTCAAACGGGATCAGAGAGAAAAAAGTTAACTTAATAATATTAATGATCATCTTCAAAGGAAAGAAAAAGAGAGGGAGGACACTGTAAATAGCTTTCTCAAACATGTAACTGTAATAGTGTAGAGATGACAATCATTGGGGAAAGTTTGGTTGATTAATTTGTATCCATTAAATAGCATATATGAGAAAAAACAACAAAATTAAGATATAGTAAGAAAGTTATCAATGTGCAATGTCATTATAGATGAAAGAGAAAGATTAAAAAACAATTACAACGTGCTGTGCATATCACCAGAATTAATTCATATCCATCTTAGGAAATTAGCTCCTAGTTTGATGAGGTCACATCAATTGTTACGTAGTTTGATTAAAAAAAAAGTAAATTAATGGGAAAGAAAGTAAAAAGGAGAGTCTGAACCATGCAGAATATGTTCGATGGAATATTTAGCACCTTTGCATAGGAAGATCCTAAGATGTGATAATTCCTTGTAATTTTTTAAATAGGATTTTCCCTTCAAGATCAAACTTGTCCACATTATTTTAAACTCTATCTAGGTAGGAAGATTCCAAGAGATTTCTGCATAATCAATTATAGCCTAAAAAGATTAGAAAATCTCTGATTTACTTTTCATTTTTCAATGTACTTTAGAATTAATAAACTGTTTTTTTTACCCATAGTATTATAATTCTCAATTTTTTTTCAGTCTGAAAACAAATACAAATTGTCAGTGAATATGTATAGTTAAGATGTATTTTCTCCTAGGCACAAATGATGCTATAAATTGTCAATAAATAGTACACAAAAGTGATATTAATATTTTTGTAATGTCAAAATTAATTTATATCTACACTGAGGAGTCAAGGTATTTGCAATTAAAAAGACATTTTACTTAAAAGCAAATATTTGACGTATAATATATTCAAAAAGTCCAAAAGTGAAAAAAGAGTGTAAGTTCAAAGTGAGAGGGCCATCTAAATATCATATTTTTGTGTGTGTTTATCAATCATATTTGCACACAGAGAGGAGAGGAAACATATAATTCAATGTCCTTTGACCATTGCTGGAACATAATTTTTTCAATAATTTGTTAGTACTTAAAAATTATCTCCCAAATTTGTGTTAGGTTTTGGCCACATTTCTTTATTCATTTTCATTTTATTTGACAAATCTTCACTGAGCTAATTCAGGATACTTAAGGTTGTATAAGGTAAGTAAGATTTTCTTAGTCAAGACAAAAATTGCAGAGTTCATTGCCTTGAATGAGATAGGAATAGTCCTTCAAGAATCATACCATTTAGCTTTTGAATAAGTATATTTATATAATACAAACATAAAAGAACTTGTCTATGAAAAAGTAAAATAAAATGGCCAAAGGTATTTCTATTATAAGACAAATCACCCCTGAAATTTTATAATGTACATTCAACAAAATGAGGTAATAAAAATTTCATGCAAAGAAATTCACTTGTTAAAAGGTATAAATCTCAGATTGCTTTTTGGTAAAATTCATTTTCTTTTAAACTGCAAATGCCATCTTAGCATCATAAGCAGAGTTATGAAATTAAATTAAGAAAAAAATATAATATGAATAAACAATGAAGAAAGTCATAAGGTATCGCTGTTTTTTTTTAAGTAACACAGTCCTGTAAGACAATGCATCTAAACATTTATCTTACCATCTCTTGGATTCAGTCATGCTGGTAATTAAGCTTTGTCTCTTGGGTGTAGATGTGATTTCAGTATAAATGATAAATTATACTAAAACTTAGTCGTTCTTTTACAGTAAATTCAGGTACATATAGAATTCATGTGTGTGTGTGAGTGTGTGCGTGCACTAAAGCTATACTGTCCTTCAGTACCAAATAATAGGTAGATTGAACTTTCATTTAGTCTAATGCTATAGATGTAACAAAGCAAACTGTTTTTAAGTTAGTTTTATATACATATAATAGGGAATAACATTTTTGAGAATAAGGGTTTCATTCATATACAGGTAAACAATAATCTATAGCTGAATGTCAGTAACTTCACATTAACAACTTAGGTTAAATCAATACAGGGTGCTAAATATACCATAAAGTACTTCCTATATTTGATTTGTTCTTTAATAAACCTTCAAACAAATTTATTGGATTCTAGACTTTGGCTCTTTCCTCCATTTGTATTCATTTCTCCTAAGTTGTACCAACAAATACAGTATCTCCTTCTGATCCCCGTGTCCCTAAATTTAACTAATGTTTCTGGGTTTATTGTAAAGAAAGAAGCCAACGTACATATCAGCCAGGAGTAAAGAAAAGATATTACGAACCAGCTCTGCAAAAGTATTCTAATCTACCGTTTTGGAGTAGAAAAATTATCACATGGTGGTTTTCTTAATAGTTACAATGAATTCAGCTTGATTATCTCATTTGCTCAAACTCTGAGCAAAATTTTTATGACAAGAATGGTGGAATTATGTTATCTTCTGGACAGCAAGGACATAGGAAGCATGTCTTCTTCCTAGGTGACTTCATGGAGAAGAGGTCAGTGGTGCCCTCAGACATCCAGAACTTCTAGGTGCACAGGGCTGGATGTCCTCAGCAGAACACAGACTGCTTCCCAGTTAGAAATTCTAAAAATTTATCACTGCTATTCTAAAATTAAAATGAAGCAATATATTTTTAAATATATATTCTAAAGGAAACTTTGAACATTCTTAAATGAACAAGAAATAACAGAATTTTCAGATGCAAAGAGAAAGGATATTTAAAGGAAGTAACAATGTTGTATGAAAATAAATAGTTACTATTATAAGGATATAGTCATATATCTTCAGAATACAATAATGTAGTATATTGAAAAGTATCTAATTCTGTCTATTTATGAGTGGAATTTGTGCTGAAGAGTCAAAAATAAATGAGTATAACAGTAACAAAATCAATATGAATATTGATTTCCTGACATCTTTTTGAACTTTATAGAATATTTTCACATATTTGCACAGGTTTAAATATTTTTATGAAGAATTGCATCAAGTTTTCTATAATAGTTTAACACCAGAACATTTTCAAGCGGACAGCTCTCATTACTAAATATCCCTCTGAACAACGGCCTGGATGAAAAACGAAAATATATTTGTTGTAGGAATAGAACACACACATGCTTTTGTTTGTTTATTTTTAGGAAAGTTCATTATACTTAGCTTAAGTTAAGGAAATACCTTCTACAAAAGCTCTTGTTGGGCCTCTATCTCTTTTATTTTTGTTCAAAATGAAAAATGTGGATATGTAATACATATATAATGTATCTACATTCACTAAAATTCACATATATCATTATACACTATAACTGATGTATGCAGGTTGTAATCACTCCCAAGCTGAAAATAAAAACAGTCATAAGAAAAGGGTTGGTTATTTTTCAAAATGCTTGCTGGCTAACTACAATTATTAGTCTTGTTTCTCTAAATCCATCAGGCACAGACACAAGACCTTCTCAAACACTAAAAGTGAAGCAGGCAACCATAAATACTTTTGGGAGAAAAAAAAATTCTGATTAAAAAAAAACCATATCAGAAAAAGATGTGATTATATTAATGACAGACTAAAGAACAAGTTATTAATACATTCTTGTAAAGAGCGCATACCTAAAAAAGAAAGAGTGTGCTTAAACGTTATCACTAGCATGGATGAGGTAAGGCTTAAGAAATCCATCATACATTGTGAGGATCTACTGATCCATTGCTTGCCTGATTCATTTTGGGATGTGCTTGACAGCCAAATGGTTAGATCAAGGGAAGGAAGAGATCAGCTGCAAAAGTTAAGAATCACAGCTTCCTCTCTTACCTGCCACTGAGGAGGAAGCCGATAACCACTGCCAACAAAATGACTCCCACTGTCACAGACACAGCAATTATAGGAATCTGGCTTTGATCGCTGGATGCAGCAACTGCTGATAGAAGACACAGAAAATGGAGCCTGTGGTTAAAGTGATCATATGCATTCAAATAAGAAACTGCTTAATAGTTAGTAATCAATGAATGCATGGTTTAAGCAATGCACCCATACTTGGCTGAGATTTCCCCCCTAATATCTCTTCTTGATGGTGTGTAATTGAAAAGACATCTTTAGGAGAAAATATTTACTCTCCAAATGGTAAGTCAAAGGAATCACTAAGCCACTGATTATTTCCTAGCCATCATAACAAAATGCATATAATTGTTTATACATCATTCTTCTAGAGATCTTGGGTTTGCAGCATAAAATGGAATTCAGACCTTGATTCCAAACCCCTTAATCTAAATAGGAGGTGCTAAACACATGAGATTAGACACTTCTAGAGTTTGCACGTGACTGTTCTCCAGAAAGAAAATCTCATTATCTCAGATAGGATTTTTTTCCACAGACTTAGGTTGAAGTCCAAAATGATATGGCTGTGACCACAGCAAAGATAAGTACAATATCACTAATCTGAATATGCTTTCTAAAACTATAATTTCAAGTAAAATACAATCAGTGAGTATACTTTGTAAGCAGGACAACTTTTTGAAAAGTATCAGAAGTCTGCAGTAAAATTCAATTCATTTACATCATTTTTTTAACATACATGGATTTAGATGAAATATTTTATAGTTATAATATAATTACCAGGATAGAGAAACATGGAAATGATTAAATAGTTGCATTTGAAAAAGCAAGGGTAGTTTTTTTGTGTGTGTTGATAGGTAAACCTGATTAAAATAAGACACCTACAGAGCAAAATAAATTTTACTAATGTTCTCAAGAAACCCTCAATAGGTTACCAAGCAGGCTTATGTTTAATGACAAAAAGTTTTGATATGTTCAGAGTGGTATTAGTTCACCTCCATAATAACAAATTTTAAGTCAGCAAAACCATTAACAGCCATACTTTTCATGTTTTGTTTTTTACAACCCCTTACTAGATCTTGGCCCCATAAAAAGTTTTGACATCGAAACCCTTCCCTTTCTATTCTTGTCACCTCTCCCTTGATTCTTTCTCACCAAAACTAACTGACTCTCTAACCATCTTCTTGTGCCTGATACACTCTTTCATTCCTTTCAGATAATTGTTCAAAGCCCAATATCAACAGCTTGTTCATGGACAAGAAACACTATTATTTGCAATATAAATCTATGCTCTTACTCTCCCTCTTCTTGGATGATAAGAGTTACAATTCAATGGTCCTTTACCCTGATGCTAGTCTTCCCCAAGACTTGCTTTATTAATCTCTAAACTTAGATTAGTTATATCATTGTTTTTTTTCCTCAGTTCTTTAACTTTCTTTTTGGCAGGCGGCCCTGTTTCTATAGATAATCATGCAGAGGTGGGCCTTATAAATTCAGTGTTACTGTGATGGGGCTCCAATTGCTGATACGATGCTTTTGATGCTCTAATTTATTTCCTAGCAAAATCATCCCCATGATGAGTCTTTCTCATTTTCTTAGTACACTAATCCATTCCCACTTCTCATGTTTTAGAAATGTTAAGCTTTATAGGTAAAGGAGTATGAATTATCTGCTTAAATATATCTGCATAACCTTTTCATCCCTTACTTAATCCTCTGTAGAATTCTCCTGTTTCTTCTGAGCCCTGCTCCTTCAGAGATCTCCCTCCAGGAGAGATTTTCATTCCCCTACAGGCTCCTTCTCTACTATTGACAAGCCTGAACAGATCATTCCTCCTTGAAGAAACAAATCCTTATACTTGAATTTATTGTTAGTTCAACTTGACTTTGAAAACAGGTCCAGCATTTACTAGACATATGGACAGAAGCAAATTCTTTAACCTTGTAAAGTCTCATTTTATTTATCTCTAAACAGGGATAATTTCCCTGAATCATTATATTTCTGTTTAGAGATAACACAGCCTAGTGCTTCAACTATTGCCAGCCTTAATTAAATATAAATATGACTTCTACATATTGTCTCCTGCTATATTTATACCCTAGTCTTCCCATTGTTCAGCTTCTTGACCAAGTTTCCTAGAAACAGCCTTATCTTCTGATTGACAGAATTAAATTCTCTCTTAAAATTCTTTTCTCTACTTCTGCCTTTGAGTTCTATATGTGACATATCTGCTAAATAAGGTATTTAACTTTGTTGAACATACATTTTATCCTTAAAACTCTACGCTTCTGGGTATCTGTGACATCAGACAAGTTGTTTTCTCTTACCTACTCTAGAACACTGCTTTGTCAGTGTTCCAAATTCTTGACCCAGATCTTACGTGTGAGCAATTCCTGGTGAAAGCAGGCTCTTAAACATCCACACTTCTCTCCTCTTTCTCTGTCTTTCTTCCTTCCTTCCTCTTTTTTTCCTTATTTCTCCTAGATACTTTGCAATGGCATCAGTTAACTATAAGCTGAAGAGTTTCTCTTCAAAGCATCACTCTATTTTTTTAAAAAAGTAGACTGTTTTCCCTTAATGTGGATTTTATTTTCAAATAAATAAAAATGTTTAAAATCAACCCTTTTCTACTCCCAAGGGCATTAACAAAAACATCAATAAATAAACATACCATAAATCGAACCAACAAGCTTTTTTCTGGTTTCTTTTAACTATCACTGAATTTTTCTTAACCCCTACTCATCCATTACTTATCAAATATTTTTGTATTTCTATTATATTTTTGCCCACATATTACTTTTTCTTCCAACACTCACTGTTTGATTCAAATCTGCTGCAACACGGTCCATTGGTGTTTTAAGTGCTCTCTTTGCCTTCTATGTACTCACATGAAATATCCAAAAATATCACTTTGATCATGTTTCTTTGATCAAAAAGTTAATAGATATCTATGACAGATGGGGAAAAAAATCCCAAATGATCCATCAAGCATCCAAAGGCCCTTCTAATCTGACTCAGAATCTTTCTGGTCTCAGTTTGGGAGCTCTCACAGATGTGGCTTTGGAGGAATGTGGCATGATTAATCAGAGGTCAGGATAAAAATTTCAGGCTAACGAAAGCATTAATTATGAGAAAAAATACAGGTGCTTAGTAGTGTCAAATGCTTCATTTTTAATAATTACTGAGATCTAATTTAACATTGTGCTAAAATATGCACCTATGTATGATATTATATCTCATACTAAAATAATGACATACCAGAATTTTTCAAATGTTTAAATTAATACATGCTGTGAAATATTTTGTAAGTAATGTCAAATCACATTCATATTTATGTATTTTTATGTATTGGCCATTCACATTTTCTGAATAATAGGCAACTAAACCAAGGATCTGTGAGGAAGAATTTAAAGAATACATTTCATTTCATTTTATTTTTTAATTTGCAGCATTTTCTAAGTTAGTGATGGATTATAATTATTAATACTTCATAGGCACTGATTAATTTGTGAGCTATTTCTAATTGGAAATAATTCATCAAGATTTTTACTGTTTATTCCCTTGTTTGCCCTGACAACATCAAAAACCAATATTATATAAGCCAAGTTGAAAATATATAGAATTTATAGGGGCTGTCAGATTCCTCACACTTGTTCATTCTTTGGCCACAGAAAAAAATTTGAAAACCCAGTATGATCCTTGATTATTTTAATGTATTGTTTAATTTTTTAATCTTTAAAGATATGAACCTCTAATCACTCACATTTCCTGTCTTCTTATATATGTTTGTTAAGAATTAGTTGATTTATGATATAGTTTTGGAAGAATAGCTAAGGAATTTTAAGAATAAAAACAAATTTGGAGCAATGTAACACACTACTATTAAAAGGATATCAGTTATGGAAGTGAATATTCTTCAGTAAATAATAATGCTTCTTTTACAATCTATAAATTTACATAATTTCATGGACACATATGCTGAGAAATCCACATTGTTTCCCTTATTGCTTCCTATGCTCTTGGTTGCAAACCCATATTATACATATGTTCTCTAGATTTTAGATACATATTTTAATAGTTAATTGTTGAGACTGAAGAGATTTGTTAGAGCAAGATTATAGGGTGTATTATAAAAGGCTGAGAAGTTGGGATCTTTTTCCCACAGCAATAATTATAATACATACACAACGTCTATGCACACACATACAAAGGAGCACAAGGAAATGTGAATAAGATATGTGGATTGCATCAAGGTCCAGATCCTGATTTATGATATTATAATACAGTTTTGCACAATGTTAGCATAGGAGGAAACAGCCAAGTGCACAAAAACTTTCTCTGTATTGTTGCTCACAATTGCAGGTAAATCTAAAATTATTTCAATGAAAATTTTATTTTAAAAAAAGAATATCATTATTCCAGCAGCTGAGTTACAGTTTGAATGAAATAGGTAATAGTCAGATGAAAGAAAGTGATGCATTGGGGAAAAAAAATCATAAAAGAAACACAAATATGTTTGGTAAATCTTGGATGAGTAGTAGTTAGGAAAGATTTGGCGATAGTTCATGTTAAAAGAAACCAGAAAGAGAGCTAACTAGGTTGGTTTTTCATTATTCTAAGTTTATTTGTTGGTATGTTATTATTGCTGTCGGGAATAGGGATAATATTGAAAGTCAATTTTAAGTACATTATTTGTATGCCAAACAGATTAAAATGAAGTGTATAATAGTCAGTTATAAAACATACGTTAAAGCTTGAGAGAGGGTAGAATAGTTGGAGATTTTTCATCCCAATCCTCAAGTTAAATTAGGTTTTCTGAAATAAATATTTTTGCATTTCTGTTTTTTGCTGCTGTTTCCATTTGGTTTTAGGGCTACATTTTTGAAGTGCAAGATTATGTAGGTGAAAAAGGAAAGCCCTTCATAACACTTTTATGATTGAAGTATAATATAAATTGATAATAAGCACATTTTAAAAATTAAGCAAATCAATGCATCGATGTATCATTATTATAAATTGAATAACCAATTAGAAATTCTTTTAAAAATGTATTTTCAAGGTAATGATTTTCAGATAATTTCCTCT